CTATAACCTTGTTATTTTTTAGATTTGGTATGTTTTAATATGACATAAATTGGTATTGACTGACGTATCCAATTGTTTTCGGTGACTTCCGGTTTCACCGGAAATGACTTCAACTTTTGATTTTTAAATGGCACCCTCGGTATTTTTTTACTTTATTCCATAGTAAATTACACTCTGAATCTAATGACATATCATATGTCAACTTTTGATATAGTTACTCAAAAATAAATTGTATTTTAAATTTCAATCTAGAGTGCCGCGGCTGTGTTAAAAACACTAAATTTTAATCAAGGAGCCTTGGAAAAATACATTTTATCGTCTAATGTTTTTAGAGTCTTGTCCTGGCCGTCTAAAAGATGCCCAAATCGTATTTTTAATCATATCTCAATTTTTTCAAATGGAACGACGATGGCTCATTAGTATATTTGGAAAAAGAATGTTTTTACGAATAATTTGATACCACACACTTGGTATATCGAGTAAATTGTCGTTATAAGCCGCATGTTACAATTTCAAATAAACCCTATGCGAAAATGTGAAAAGTTGACATGTGATATGTCATTCCATTCAAAGTGTCATTTTCTATCGAATAAAGTAAAAAAATACCGAGGGTGCCATTTAAAAATCAAAAGTTGTAATCATTTCCGGTGAAACCGGAAGTGACCGAAAACAATTGAATACGTCAATCAATCCCAATTTATGTCATATACGAACATACCAAATCTCGTTTATTTATCTGAAAAAATAAAAAAGTTATAGGGGGTGAGCCACTTTTGAGGCGCACCCGGTATATCAGCTATACAATATGTCCCCGGATTGTCTTTACAAGAGGAAAAACTTTCTTATTATTGACATTTTGAGAAAGACGCATTCTTCATAAAAAAATTTGCTTGTATTAAAATTGTTAATCCCGTTTATAATTTTCCAAATTTAAACACTGTTTTAGAGAACATTTAAAAAACACATAAAAATATATTTCAATATTTTCCTAAAAAAAAGTCTTAAAGTTCTAAAAATAAAAAGGCGTTTCTATTCCAATATCATTTAGATTTCATTCTTTGATAGATGGTTATTATTAATTTCCATTAACGTCATATTTTTTACTGTTGTTAAAGTATCACATTTTCCGATAGCTATTATTACCCTACCCTATCCGTAAAAATGAACTAAATAAATTTTGTATTTCTTTAACATTTTAAAACAGCAAAAAATATGTCGTTAATTAAATTTCTATCAATAACAATCTTGGAAAGAATGAAATCGAAATGATTTTACCATAGAAACACCTTTTGATTTTTAGGACTAAAAAATTCAACTGTTTTCATGTTATTTCAAATTTTCTCTAAAACGACATGGAAATTTGGAAAAGTATAAACGGGATTAGCCATTTTAGAACAGACAAATTTTTTTATAAAGAATGCATTTTTCTCAAAATGTCAATAGTAAAAAAACGTTTCCTCTTGTAAAGACAATCCGGGAACATACTGTAAAAATACCTATATTATGTATAGTAGATTAAATTTAGAGAAAATAAAACTGAAAAATCCAGCGGTTCTTGAAAAAGTTCTTTTATCAAGATCTACCAGCAGGCCTGGATTAAGGGGGGGGCTATGGGGGCTATAGCCCCAGGCCCCGTCATTGAGAGGGGCCCCCGAATCAGGAGAATTTAATCGATATTAGTTAAATGAAAATGTACATAGGTATTTAGTCTTATTAAATATATTGCAATATATTGCAACAGACAACTTGTTATTCTCATAATGTTAAAAACACTGACTCTTCTTCTTTTTTTTTGGGCGGCAACACACTTTCCCCAAAAAATATCAAGAGTGCTGCATAGACAATGGCTCGTTCTTCTTTTTAAATTTTTCGGGATGGATGAATTACCGAAAGCCGAAAGCGCTAGGGGAATTACTCAGATTAGAATCCTCTTTTTATTCTATTTGATTAGTAATTTTGCATAGCGCATCTATGAAGTAAGCGATTGCGAATAATAGATTTAAGAAAACAAGAACAATAATACGTTTTTAACTGTGTAGTGTATACCAGTATTTTAAAAAATATCATGTAGCAGAAAATATCTTAGTGGATCTGCTAAACGTAAGGTAGGAATCAGTTTTAGCCTTATTATGCATTTACTTGATATGATCATTTATATAATAATTTTGGTATTGACAATTAAATTAATAATAACTTTCTTAAGTTTTCTTCTTTTAAAAATAAGCGCATTAATATATTATAAGTACCTTGGTATTTACACCCTCTTTGCTTGCACCCCTTTGACGGCACTATCACCCTTAAAATAATTTTAAATGGAATAGGGGGTCGAGTGATACCTTGTTTTAAAGGTCTTTTGAGTCTTTTTATATCTGTAGAGTTTGAAGTCTCTATTGCCATTCGCGTTGAATGGTAACGCCACTACTTTTTAAATAAAATTAATATTGTTTTTGAAATCCCCATTCAATTTACAACATATTTTATTTCTTGACTTTTTTTATCCGACGCACCATTTTTGCGTAAAAAAATAAACACCATTTTCATGCATAACCAAATCGCTAAAATGTTACCATAAATTTAAATAGCAAAATTTGTAAAACGGCAAATTTAAGTTTAAAAAGATTTTTTATTTTCCAAAAACTTCTTTCTATGAACATAGTACGAACTATGTTCAACCAAAACTAAATTATTGTCGTTTTTCAAATTTTACCATTAAAATTTCATTACCATTTTAGCGATTTGGTCACATGTATGAAAATGGTTTTTATTATTTCAAGCGAAAACGGTGCAATAATATTCAATTCAATAATATTTTGGTATTATAGTAAATAGTATAGTAGTGGTATAATAGATATTAAAAAAGATCGATTTTTTTTCTTAAAAGTTTAACACCCTGTATTTTGAAAACGACGCATTTCCGACCATCAGGCTGCATCCACACTATCCTAAAAACGGCGTATCGGCGTAACGACCTTGAATAGATGTCCAGTAATTCTATTGGCTGAAAAATTCATCTGTCAGAAATTTTATCTGTCAAAAATTTCTGCCAATAGAATTACTGGAAATCGATTCAAGGTCGTTACGCCGTTACGCCGATACGCCGTTTTCAGGATAGTGTGGATGCACCCTCAGTGTCCCATCTCAAAACGTTTATTTTGGCGAGATCTACCAACCTTTAGATTTTGGTACAATAGATTCGGAACACTCTGTATATTTAAATCTACGAAAACTTAGATTTTTTAATTTAAAAAAAAATAGAAAACGATATTTTAAATTAATTTAAGATATAAGAAGAAAACTTTAAAATTGCCTAAAGTAACAGACTTTTTTAGTATTTGCAAAACCCCTTCAACGTCAAATTCTGAGTTGAATAAACACCAAGATCATGAACTGCCTTCCTGTTCAACTTCAAGCAATATTAGTTTAAGTGAAAATAACAGCAATGAGGAAAAATAATCCGACCTGGGGGGCCCCAAGGGTAGCACCTAGCCCCGGGCCCCCTAGGACCTTAATCCGGCACTGTCTACCAGCCCCGAAAGTATCTGCACTTATTTAAGACTCATCCTGTATAGTATACTAAAGTTTATTTTAGTTACATAGTTATCACATTGTATCTGTATGCAAAGTGATAACCTTGATTTTGCAAAAAATGTTTGACGCCATACCATTAAATATCTCAATTGTGTGCCGGTATAAACAAAATATATTGATTTAAACAAAATCGATAATAAATTCGATTAAACCCTTTCGGTGTCACTGCAGTTAGTTTACTATTAATAATATAAATAATTTTGGTATTGTTTACGTTTTGTTGCAATTAATATTATCAAAGAGATAATAGACAAAATTCAAAAAATATTTTATAAACATTTTAAAGTTCGAATTTTGGTTGCATTATGTTTGAGAACCAATTTAAAAAATCAATTTTTATATTATGTATTATTACCTTAATTATTTTAATGAATCTTAATAATTTTAATAAAATGTTAATTATAAATTTAATATCTTCACTGATAACCCACTTAACATTTGAATGACAAATATGTAAGTCATTAAGAAAAAATTACGAAACTGACTTGTCATAAAACAACTTGACAAGTACTTTGAGGTCATGGTCAAGTACAATAAATAAAAATATGTATAACTAAAAGCACAAAAAGTAATAGCATGTGTAACAGAACTAGCTGTAAGTACATATACCGGGTGTTTTTAAAAAGTGGCTCACCGGCTCACTTAACTTTTTAATTATTCAGATCAAAAAGAGATTTGGTATGTTAGTATATGACATAAATGAGGATTGAGGACGTATGGCGCATTTATGATTAAATCATCATTTAGATTCGTTCATTTCCTGTATCACCGGAAATGGCTACAACTTTTGATTTTTAAATGGAAGTCTAGGCTTTTTTACGCTATTTGATAGAAAATTACAAACAACATTAAAAACATTTTCAACCGAAAAAATTCCATTTTAAATTTCAATCTAGGGTCCATGGTCATAAATGCAACAATTTGACTCGAAATACCAAGTCTGTGGTACCAAATTATTCGTAAAAAAAATATTTTTCCAAATATGTCAATGAGACAATGAGCCACCCTCGTTTCATTTGAAAAAATTGAGATATGACTAAGAATACAATTTTGGCATCTAATCATAATAACATCATAAAAAGAAAAAAAGAAAATTCAGTCCCAGCCTTAAATATGGGTCTTAGTAATCCCATTAATCCCATTAAAATTACACACTAAATTTAAAAACTATACAAGAGATGAAGGAAGTAATATGCCATACTCTAAGTTTGAGATACATTATAAAAAAATCAAAAATCAAAAAAGTAAAATTTTGGTCCGGATTGTGTTTAACCCTGTATAATAAAGTATGTTTGTGGTAAAAACAACAAATCGAAACAGAAAATATGAAAAATTTCGTTTCTTACTCTGGAATTAGTAAGATTTTTTGTATACATCCTGTATAAATACGACAATTTCAATTATTGACTCACCAATAATACTTAATATTCCTCTTTTTGCTCAAGTTCATGCTTCTTAGCTTTTCCTCATGAAAAACCATTTTAACACAAAATGACATAAGTTTTGCAACTATGGCAAAAAAGTAAACAAACTTTAGAAAACTGAACATGTTTGCCACCAACAAACAAACAAACTTATCACCGAAAGCTATAACACAATTTTGCAATGTACCCGGACAAGAGTAAATCAAAACTAAACAAATTCACAATGACAACAAACTCGGGCACGAAGAACTTGATAAAATATATTTTATTAAAGTACTACCAGTACTACTGCACTCAAAGGACTAGATACAATTGATAATAAAATGTTGCCACATTTATCCCAGAAATAAAAAATATACACTTTAACTTTACAGCGCCACTAGTATGTAACAATAATGTATAATGTGTAATAATGATATAATACCAACTCTAGAATCAGAAGAATATTAATTGTTTTATAAAAAACAAACATACAGTAATAAATATTCAATTCAACAGTGTTGGGAACTTTAAAGAAAATAGTTAAAAAGCGGCAACATTGTACAAAGAGTACGAGGTCTAGTGCACGTGAACCCGACTGAAAAAAAAATAGAATTATGTTGTTGACAACAACAATAGGAAGGAATATTACCTCCTATCTTTCTAGATCATTGTTATTGAATTGACTTATTATTTCCTATATCAGCAAGTTGAATAGAGAATCCTGATAAAACAAAATGAGTAATAGATTCATAAAACTAAACACACAATAATTGTTTAAAACAAACTGGGCATTTTTTAATTACCTCTTCATTAATAAAAAATAAAAATTTGATTTCATCTGAGAATGAGATACATTTTGTAATATTACAATACTCCAAAATTTGTAATTTTGCATGGCTTAGAAAAGCTTGCTTTTCTTTTTGTTTGTGCAGGACCTAGTCTTAAGTTTCCTGCTATATATTCTTAGATAATTTAGCTGTTAGCTAGTATCTTTGAAACGGTTTTCCTCGACGCCACTGACGGCATTTTTTAAAAAGAAGAAATTTTTAAAAAGAGTCTATTTATTTTCAGTCGCTTTGCAAAAAGCCTAATCAGAATTTAAGCCGGGGCCCCATCACGCCACACGCCACTCTACGCCATGCCACCCCACGTCATGAAGATCTGGGCGTATGTTTTTTGCGTACACACTAGGCAACACACCACCCCACGTCATCCTAGAAATCCCCCCATCAAGAGAAAGACAATGGTTCGCATACGTAAAACGCATGGAAGAAACCATACATAGCTGAAGGGAAGTTCATGGGTAAGAGACAGCCGGGAAGACCTCCAAAAAGATGGAAAGACAGTTAGCAGTCCAATCTCCCAAGAACTCCTACAGAGGCAACCTTAAAACTAACAGATCGACTAGATGTCAACTAAGAAGAAGAAGATTTAATTATTATACTCTGTAATTCGATTCTGTGTCCAGGGCTTTTTTGTGAAACTTTGCTGTCTTTTTGAATAAAATAAATTTTGTTTTTTATAATAATCATCCTTGGTCACACTCTCATTAACAGAATCATCACTATGTTGTTCTATTTCCTAATTTTTTAAGAAAAGTCCAAGAAATGTTCCTTGGATACTTAAATTTAGGTGTTAGGTATACCAATCCCGTGTAAAATGTTTTGTGCAATCTGACTATTCTTTATTAGACATTTTGAAGAAAGAAAAACAGATAGGCTCTTTTGTAAAATTTCCTTCTTTTATTAATTTAGAATGTCGACGTTTTATAATACGTCAAGTCTTTTTTGCAAAATGCCGAATTAGTCGATACGCCTGCAACAAATATATCTAATAACTAGCGTGTACCAGCGACTTCGTTCGCGTCGAATTAATCATTTGTAATGGTGATGATAAAGCAAAGCAAGAATTTCCATTAACATACAAACTGGATAAAATTTTCTCACATTTATGTCAGCATGAGAAAAAACAATATGGCGATGTTATTATATAACTTAGTAATATCTGAGGGGTAGTTTCATCTCGTTGGAATTTGACTTTCAAAAAATCCGTTTGCCAAAAATAAGCTTTTTACGTCAAGCAGTTTAAGCAGAATCGTGGTTAAGAAATTACCCAACTTTTGGGAACACCCTGTATATTTTTTTTAAAAATTTCAAAATATGTAAAAAAACCAAATAAATTATGCTTGTCCAAGCGTTTTCCCGAAAGACTAACCGTTTTTTAAATAACAAATATTGTAATATTTGAGGGGCGTTTTCACCGTCTTGGAATTTCAGATTCGAGAAACCCCTCCTTATCGAACCTCTACACCCCACGGTCAATCCGTTTGCCAAAAATCAGCTTTAAACGTCAAGCAGTTTAAGCAGAATCGTGATTACTCAATGGTCATATTTTATGAAACACCCTGTATAAATTTATAAAAAATCTTAAAATATGTAAAACAACAAAATAAAATATACGTGTTTAAGAATTTTTCCGAAAAACTTACCGGTTTTTAAATAAAAAATATTTTAATATTTGAGGGATAGTTTCACCCCCTTAGAATCCGAGTTTCGAAAAATCCCTTCTTATCGAACCTCTACACCCTAAAGTCAATCTGTTTTCCAAAAATCAGCTTTTTACGTCAAGCAGTTTAAGCAGAATCGTGGTTAAGAAATTACCCAACTTTTGGTTGTAAGGATAAGTAATAGGGATCGCGTGATTAATCAATGACCAGATTTTTCGAAACACCCTGTATACATTTTTAAAAAATCTTAAAATATGTAAAAAAACAAAATAAAATATACGTGTTTAAGCGTTTATTCGGAAACTTGGCCGTTTTTTAAATAAAAAATATTGTAATATTTGAGGGGTGGTTTCACCCTCTTGGAACTGGAATTTCGAAAAATCCCTTCTTATCGAACCTCTATACCCTAGAATCAACCTGTATGCCAAAATTGAGCTTCTTACGTTGAGTGGTTTGAGCAGGATCGTGATTAATCAGAATGTCAGTCATTTAAGGATTTTATATATTAGTGTAGATTATACTTTGTACGTAGTATATGAGGACAGTTGGCAGTCGACCCATCAAGAACTAACACTGAGGCAACCTTAAAACTGACAGATTGACACATCCGAAATAATTAGAAGAAAAAGAAGTATATGATTTATCGCTAGTCAAAGTTTAATTGTTCTTTAAAAATTTAAAGCTTAATTTCAGTAGTGACATAGGTACTCATCGATCATCAAAATTCTACAGGGTGACAAACTTCAAATTTTAAATTTTAGTTAGTGTTAGGAAATAACTTGTTAGTGTTAGTGTTAACCACAAAAGAAGAAAAATAAAAAAAATCCTAATAATTTCCAATAATAATCCCCATTAATTGGTTCAATAAATGAAAAATAATGATTACTAAAAGTCAAGCGTCTAGTCGTTACCCGTTAATTGACTATCGAGTGAGCTTTAAATGCCTAGATTTTAAAATTGAATGTCTCACATCAAATTTTTGGTCAGCTTCCCACATGGATGGGCTGGCTCTGATCATAATATTCGTTGACGATTTTTGTTTTATATTAATTGAATTGATATAATTTCGATTGCTATGAATGGATTGGCGATTGAAAGGCTTACTTATTTACTTACTGATTTCGAAAGATATATTACCCGAGAGAAAAAAAAAAGAAGATGACAAAATGAAATGAGTACCCGTCAAAAACATAAAATGTAAAAAAATGTCAAATCTCGTAACGCAGTTCTTCCGCAACAAACAGTTGTAAAAACTGATGCAAATTCAACTCAGTTATTTTAGTTAGTGTAGTGTCTATGAAAGCACCTATTCAACAACTTTGTTATAAATTATAATAAAATAAAATGAACATAAATTATATAAAATATAAACAAGCAGAAAGTAGTATCGACTGGGTGAGAAAGAAAATCTAGGAACTAGTGGGGTTGCAGTCGGAAGGGTTTGACAAAGAATTAATACACTTTGTTAATTGTCAACTAACACTGACAATTAACAAAGTGTATTAATTCTTTGTCAAACCCTTCCGACTGCAACCCCACCAGTTCCTAGATTTTCTAAAATATAAACTCTCATATGAAACGAATTTACCTACTAAAATCATACTATATTATTATTTTATATCTCCTCTATTATACTACAAACATTTTCTTTCAAACCTTCAACCATCGACCAGACAAAACAATATTTCGTTAAAGAAAATCCAGAAGCCATCCAGTTTTCACTAAGACTTATTTATATCGCATAATATGAGCTGTCAAGCCATATCGAAAACCGCAAACAACTCAGGCTCAAGTATTAATGCTTCCTTACAACCCACATTATAACAGCTCTTTATCGAAGTATAAAATAGCTATTTATGTAACTAGTACCTAAAATGATGTTTTTTAGGACGAATCATTACTGTTTGCGGACGAGGCGTTAGCCGAGTCCGAAATAGTAGATGAGTCCTAAAAAACATAATTTAGGTACGTGTTACATACACTATTTTTTGTCATACGCTTTTTACAGTTTTTTAGAACGCATATTTGCAAATTTTCCATATTTGAAATTATAATGTTTGAAAAAGTTGGCTTATAAATTCATATCTTAGTAACGAGTTTGTTTATTTCATCGCATTTTGACATGTCATTCGAAATTTGTCACAAAATCACACAAATTCATCAACAATTTTAAAATGTTCCAAAATCCCGAACATATTGCTAATAAGGCCAAAGAAATCGTGTTGGATTTACTTCCTGTGAAGTCTCGTGCCATTTACCAGAAAGAATATGATGTTTTTAATGAATGGAAAGACAAAAATGGCGTATTCGTTGTAAATGAAGATGTATTGCTAAATTATTTCCACGAAAAAGTAAGTACCTAGGTACTTACTTTAAACAAATAACTTAGCTTTTGATATTGTTAGTATTTAATAATTTAATTATAAATATATGTATAATTTTATGTGATTTTGTGACAAATTTCGAATGACAAAATAAAACAACCAAATAACGAATTTAGACATTTTAGTCCATAAAGGTTGCCATGACGACCTTTACGGCCTAGGCCGAAAAAGAAACATTTTACGGACTGAAATGAGTCCGTAAAATAGCTGTTTTTGGGAGCGTATGACAAAAATACATTTTCGAAGGCTATAGACTATAGACCTCCGACGAAATTTAATATAATATACAGTGAAGTTTAAAAGTTACTATTTGATATTAATAAAGGATCTCTAATGGTAATC